ACCCCCGCGCCGTGCTAGCCGCCCCGCGAGGCCGGGCACTCGGGGGACAGTGTTGTCCTCGAGCCGCCCACGACCCCCTAGCTGCAGAGCGCTCGAGCGCCAGGCTCCCCTGCCGATATCCCTTCTCTCTCTCCGTACGCCAATTAAACAGAACACAAATGTAACAATTTTCTTCTTGTTAATTGCATCTCCTGACATTTCGGCGTGTTGGGGGGAAAAAAGATGAAGAAGTAAGAGCTGAAAGAAAAGAGAGAAGCCCCGCAGCGGCTGCAGGCGCCTGCAAGCGCAGTGCATTGGCAGCGCTCGGCACGCAGAAGGCGCCTTTTTTTTCATATTGAAACCACGCGGAATATGTACATTTTTTAGTCTTACTTACGCTTTCAGGGGGTTGTGAATGACAGTCGCCATTTTGCTACAATGTAACAGAATATTGTCTGTCTCAGAGTTCTAAAGGTTCGCTCAGGGGAAGCGGCGAGCCAATCAGAGCACGGGATACCGGCCCGGCGGCCAATCGGCACCACTGGTCGCCAGGTGGGCGGGGCCTGCACGGTGGTAGTTATTAGGGGAGCTGTCAAAGCCCAGAGGTCACTCCCTTTTGTAGAGCCCGAGAGCGAGCAGGTCTTAAAGGGGCAGTACCGCGCGAGCAGCTCTTTTTTGGATTGAGGAAAGTGGAGACGCACGGGAGAGTATTCTAGTTTGGTTTGAGTTTCTACTTTCTAAGTAACTCCATAGAGTTTGCGCTTCCGGACAGAAATATTTAAGTATTTTCAACAAAACACTGAACTCCATTCATTAGCTTTTGGCTTTTCTATTAGGTTTTGATCCCCCAAAGGGCAAATCCCTTGATCCCTTGCAAAAGTTGGTTGGATGCCGGTTCATCTAACACATTACCACACGTGCCCAGCCGTTTGCTAATGCTCTGGGTCCCGCGGCTTTTTAATATTCTCATTCCCGGAGTGTTTTCTTTATCTCAGTCACCTTCCTCTCTCGGTTTCTTGGAACTGCCGCCGGCGTTCCTGGCGATTCCAGGACAGCAGCTCCCCTCCCTCCTGGAATGTCTCAATGTCAGGCCCGCTCCCTCCCGCAGCCGGGGCTCGTTATGTAATGCGATGGGGTCACTCTGCGCGGTTCCCCGCTACCGCCTCTTCTGTTCTACACTCACACGCCAGAAACTTCTGCAGTGGTCAGGCTCCGGGAGACGGGGGAGTCGAGTGGGACCTGGCTCTCGGACCTGGCTCAGGTGCAGGGAAGGCTGGAGGAACTTTTGGAAACGTGTTCTGTTGCTACCACTAGACAGAAGTTGCAGGACCTAGGCTGCGGGTCGCCTGAGCCTCTTTCGGTGAGTGGCACACGCGATTCTGGCGTCACCTTTCACTTCTTGGATAGAAAGTGGAAAGAATTTGCTAATGAATAATCTGATGTGACCGGAGGTGTTCGGAGTCTGTCTGCTTCGAGTCAGCGTGAACTCCTCACTGGCGAGCCTCTGACAAAATTGGGAGATTTCTGTGAAGCCAGTCTTCCCCTGGGCAGTCGGGAAGCTAGCGGTGGATGAAATTGCACTAAATCCTGAATGGGGGCCTCGTTAGCATACAGAAATCTGGCTCCCATCCCAAAGTTGTTTAATCGGGTCAAATAGCTAAGACAGTGGGGGAGGGGTGGGGAGGGGGAGAGGAGAGGCCAAGTTGCCAGTTCTTCAAAGCCGTGCCCTCTCCCTTCCTTTCATAGCACTCCTCTCAAGGCAATGAATAAAACTAAAATTTTTAAAAAAAGAGTTCCAGAACTTTCAGAATTCAACTCCATACACTATTAGAGTGACCGATAACCAGAACAGGGCTGAATTAGTATGTTTATAAGACTTGACAATGTTAACCCCTTCATTCTACCTAGTTAATGGCAGAGTCAACTTCTATAGATTGCTTTGTACAGCATCTTGCAGTTTGAAAAGTTATCCTCGTTTCTAAAATTCAAGTTTGAAAAATCTCTTTCTTCTTAATTTGTCAAGGGATTGGTTCAAAAGTTAGTACTTTGTGGCCCAGGCCAGCTAGCTCAGTTGGTTAGTTAGAGCATGGTCCCGATATGCCAAGGTTGCAGGTTTGAACCCTGGTCAGGGCACATACAAGAAACCACCAATGAATGCATAAGTAAGTGTAACGACAAAGCGATCGCTCTCTCAAGATCAATTTTTTTTTTTTTAAGTTCTTTGCCTGGGATGGGCCTTGACAACACTAAAAAGCAAGCACTGTATTCAAACACAAGAAGTATGAGGTTGAAGTATCAATCATAACTCCCACCAGCCTCTTTGAGATATCAAAATAACAGCAATTCAGAGTGGAAGACAACCGCATATTTTAATATACACAGATTGATAAAGGAAGCAGGAAATGTAGCCTGCCCTGAACAAGGCTTAGGATTTAATAGGAAAGGGGAAATACATTTATATTACATATTAAAACAAAGAATATACTCTAAACCTGAATAATAATTTATTGTGTTAAGGCCCAGATGCAGAAACCAGCATTATTCGTCACTATCTGGCACACTTGAAAATGGCAGACCAGATCTGTCTTTACTTTGAGAAATTTTAATCCAGAACTTGAACATTTCAGTTACATTTTATAATGATTGAATTGGAAAAATAATGAATTAAAGACAGGATTTTTGAAAAGTAAGATAGCCTTGTTTTTTGTAATGTCATGTCATCATTTTAACTCTACCAATATAGGTATGACTTTTAAATAAACATAATTGTTGTGAATTCACCTTTTATCACCTTTATTCTAAGACATATAAGAGTTATTATTATTTTAACTTTGTTTTATTTTATATCATAAATCAAGATTTATTTATTTTTTTACGGTAGAGCAGGTTCTATCTGTCAGTTTACAGATGGCCTGATCCATCTGCAATGAGACCAAATTTTTCAAATAAGCCTTAAAATGTACTGATCTCACCCCACAAAAAGGCACATATATTTTGCCAGAATGCTAAAAAGTTTTGTGAGGGGCTTAGCATGGGCCTGTTAGAAGGAGACAGGAACCTTGAACAGTTTGGGAGAATATTACATTGTAGATTAATTTTGCAAGGAAGTGCTGTATATGATTGAAGTGTGCCTGAGTTCACCACTTGCCAACTGGGTAATCTTGGGCAAGTTTACTTAGCAACTTGAATGTTTCCTCATCTGAAAAATGTCAATAATCATAAAACCTACTTCATGTGGCTCTTTCCAGGATTGCATGAGGTAACACATATCAAGTGTCTAAGCTCTCAATATATATTAATTATTATTTTTTATAAATATATTTAATTATTTCCTGTTGACATAAGACATGTAAGGGATCTGAATAAAATGACACATCAGAAAGTGAAATTGTCACGGTTGCTTCGGCAGCACATACACTACAACTGGAAAAATGCAGAGAAGATCAGCGTCTCCCCTGCACAAGGACAACATGCAAATTTGTGAAGTGTTCCATATTTTTTTTAAACATTAATTTTTTTAAACCTTCTATAAGCTGATTTATAAATCATTTTTCTATTGAAAATGTTCTTAAACGGCATTTACTCACCACAGAAACAATCATTTTCAACGTGGATAAGTTTATGTTGTATTTTCTTGCTTTTGCACCTTTAAAACAGTAAGGTGCTTTCATTTTGAAATCTAACTTAAAAGATGTGTATTTATTTGGTATTACATAATTACAACTTTGAAAATAGAAAAAAAAAGAAAGTGAAATTGTCTATTAGATTTCGTTTTCTTAAACTCACTAATTTAAGAAAAATGAGCAAAGAGCACTTTGATGAAAACAAAGTAATAATCAAGACTGTTTCAGCTAGGGGGCATACAACTACTTAAACCACCAAAGTATTTTCTGGCTGATGATGATACCAAGATATCTTTTTTTTTTTAATCCTCACTGGAGAATATTTTATTGATTTTAGAGAGTGAGGAAAGGAGAGAGAGAGAGAGAGAGAGAGATCAATGTGGAAGAGAAACATGGATTGGTTGCCTCCCAGGATCGAACCTGCAACCTAGGTATATGCCCTGACCAGGAATTGAACCCACAACCTTTTGGTATATGGGACAATGCTCCAACCAACTGAGCTACCCAGCCAGGACAATACCAAGATACTTTCAAAATGCCATTTCTAGCCCTGGTGGGGTAGCTCAGTTGGTTAGAGTGTCCTGATAGGCCATGGTTTTCAGTTTAATCCCAGGTCAGGGCACATATCAGAGAGTCAACCAATAAATGCATAAATAAGTAGAACAACAAGGCCATCTTTTTCTCTCTCTCTCTCTCTCTCAAATCAATAAATAAAAATTGAAAAATAAAATAAAATACACATTCGGAGAAACTTCTCTAGTAATATACTATAGAAATGATCCCTGAAAGTATAATCTTAAAATATATATATATATCTCTCTAAAGCTCTATAGATATTCATATATCTGTATACACTCATCTCTCCCCATCTCTTTTATCTTGATTTAGCTGGTTAGGCAGCTTAATTAGAAGGCAGAGTGGACCCAGAATAACCATTTCCTCACCCCACCTGGACATTCTAGAGCTGTGCTGTCCAACACGGAGCCATGGGTTACATGTGGCTGCTAAGCACTTGAAATGTGGTTAGTCTGAAAGGAGATGTGCTGCAAGGGTAAAATATATACCAGATTTTTTAGACTTAGTACAAAAAAATGTAAAATATCTCAACAATTTTCACATTGATTACATGTTGAAATGACAGTATTTTTATTTACTGGGTTAAATTTAAAATGTTGTTAAAACTAATTTCACCTGTTTCTTTTTACCATTTTAAAGGTGGCTACTAAGAAATTAAAAATTGTGGCTCATGTTGCATTTCTATTACAGAGCATCGCTCTAGACAGTGTTTGTGACCAGGGAAAGAAGGGTGAGGCCTTTCTCAATCATGTTGATCCATCTTGTGCAGCCTTCTCAAATTCAGCTTTGATATCAGTTAGCAAAACTTTCTGGTCCAACTCAAGTATGTGTTCAATGCCACCTATTCAGAGGAACATTTGGGGTGCAACCAAGGACCCAGGGACCTAAACCACAAGGGGCACCCAAGTCTGTTTACTTCTAAAAAGTTTGAAGGCTGTTTCAGCAGACCACAAGTCAAAGCTGTGAGAAGATGGCCATCCAGATGCAAAGAAGGTTGGGACTTCTGTAGCAAGTGTCGACCTTTCCAGATGACTTTTTTAAGGCACATAGAATAAGAAGAAAGAAGGAAAGGAAGGAAATGCAGGTCCACAATCAACAAGAGTTCATTTGAAATAGGAAGTGTGCCACAAAAACCATCCAAAATAAATGCAGTTCCTAGAAGGTTCTGGGAGTTGAAGGAGTTTTAAGTCTTGTAGGTATTTTAAAAACAAGAACAAGCTCACCCTCAATC